GTAGCATTTGCCGAGGCAGCTGTATATTCCCTTCCTGGTCCCTCGCAGATCGGGAGTGAGCGACGTAGCTTTGCGATGCGCTGTAGGATGGGCAAGGGTTGGGGTGGCGGTGCTCGTGTACTTTCTTTTCCTGCTGGTCCTCGAGATCGGGAGTGAGCGGTGTGCGATGCGCTGCGGTATGTGGGGAAGGGGGGGAGGGGGGGCGTGCGAGTGTATTCCCTTCCCGGTCCTCTCGCGATCGGGAGTGAGCTCCTCCACGCTGGGAGAGCAGTGTGTCGTGAGTTCTTCATTACGTGATCATTACTGCAGCCATGAGGCGGGGAGCGCACGCTCCGTCCGGGGGGGGGGAGGAGGCAGAGGCGGAGGCGGGCGAGGAAGAGGGAGAGGGGGCGAGCGAGTCGAGCCGCGACGAGCGTCTCCTCGCCACCGTCCTCGGCCTCGCCGGAGCAGGCTACCTCTCCAAGGCCTGCGCCCGCTTCTCGACCAACCCCGTCGCCGAGACGGGCGTGTACGATGACACGCAGCCCGGCGGCGGCCTGACAGCGGACCAGGCGCTGGTTCGAGACACGCTTCGCGACCTCCACCCGCAGTCCACCGCGGTCTCGGATGACGACATGCGGCCTGCCCAGGGCGCCGGCGGCGCCGTCACACGCTACTCGACCTCCAGCAAGGAGTACCGGGACGCATTCTGGGAGGTGTTCCACTCGGTGCCCAAGGCGCGGGCCATGTCCGTCGACGGCGTGAGCTATGAGGAGTTAGAGTTCCTGTACTACGGCGGGGCGGACACGAGGGAAGTGCTCTTCGACATCGTCGCCTCCATCAACCGCGGCGAGGTGCACGAGTCGGCCACAAAGATTTGGGGCGACCTCAACCTCCTCGGCATCGAGAAGAGAGACGACGACGGCAACCTCACCGGCACCCGTCCCATCGGCATTCCCGCCGCGATCCGCCGCCTCGCCAACCGCGTGCTCATGAAGCATCGCAGCGCCGACATGTGCGACCTCTTCACCGGCGGCACGCCTGACATGAGACGCACGGTCCGCGACGGCATGCGCGAGATCTGCCTCCGCCCCACCGAAGACGGCGGGCTCGGCATGTCGGCGGAGGAGGCGGAGGCGCGCGTCAAGGCGTGCAACATCCCCCTGCAGGTCGGCGTGGGACTCGCTGGCGGAGCCGAGGTGGCGATTCAGCTGCTGCAGGAGCATCTGCGGCGCAACCCCGGCCACGCGATCGCCTCGGACGACAAGCGCAACGGCTTCAACTGCATCTCTCGCAAGGCCATCTTTGCGGGCCTGCGGCGGTGGTTCCCGGAGCTCATCCCGACCGTCGCGCTGTGGTATAGCGAGCAGCGCCGCCTCTTTCTCTTCAACGCAGAGGCGCGGTGCAGCTCGGGCGACACCTTCATGTCGACCGAGGGCTGCGCGCAGGGCGATCCTCTCGGGCCCTTCCTCTTCGCCGTCGGCTATCATTGGACCCTGCTCGAGATGCAGGTGCGCAACCCGTCCGCCCTAATTTGCGCGACACCTACGTCGCGGACGCGCCGAGGGCGGCTCTCGAGACGATGCTCGAGGGCGACGACCTTGCTCAACTCTGGAGTGGCGTCGAGAGCAACAAGTCCAAGCGGTGCATGTGGGCCCCCGACCCGCGCTCGCTCGACGCGGTGCGCGACCACACGGATGTCAAGGGCACGCCGGACTCCGCAGACGGCGTCCTTCGCGGTATTCGCGTGCTCGGGGCGTACCTCGGGGACAAGGCGTGGTGCCGTGACAAACTCGTCAAGCGCGTCCGCAAGGCGCTGGAGCCGCTCTCGGGCATCATGGCGCTGCGCGACACCAAAACGATCCACACCGCGCAGCAGCTCGCCCAGGTGCTCCTCCGCTTCTGCAGCAACACCACGCTCACCTTCTTCCTTCGCACTATGCCGCCGTCGGTGACCCAGGACGCCGCGCGCGAGCACGACCGCCTGATGGAGGAGGCGCTCTACACCCTCGTGGGTGGCGCGCGGGTCGGACGCAACAGCCCACGGTGGCGGGTCGCTGTTCAGCAGGCCCGACTTCCGGTCAGGATGGGCGGTATGGGCCTGACCAGTGCCATGGACATCCGTGAGGCGGCGTGGGTCGGCACGTGGGCCCTCGTCACGCGGCCGATACGTGAGCTGCACGAGCCATTCCGCGACCTCGACGTGGCCCTCGCGCCGGGAGAGCGCTTCGACGAGCTTCGGGAGGCTCACAAACGCCTCCGCGCCCTTCGCGACGAGGTCGGCAAGACGTGGCGCGAGTGGGACGGGCGCACGCTATACCAAGACGTCGTCGGGCCCTTCAAGGAGACCAAGGCGGTGGGACGGCGCCGCTACCACCCGCCCAAGCTTACGCCGGCGGCGGAGCTGCTGCCTCTTCCGGAGTTCTCGTCTACCAGCGAGTTCTTACAGCAGGCGCAGCGGCGGTACACCGTCGGCGTACACCATCGCAACTGGCTCGCCCTCG